ACTTGAAGGTTCATGGGGCTAAGTAACTACTCACAACTGGGCTTATAACACTACTCAGAATCCCTCCAATAGGATGTAGGTTTCCTTGATTCTAAATTGGGTTCTAAGCCGGATTATAAAGAGTTACTAAATCCAAGGAACCTTCTCAAGTAGGGTTTCCGTCCCCAATTGAAGGCAGGGACGGAGCCCCTGTTTTGGATGAATGGTTTCCAGTGACCAAGAAAGCCCTCAAATGGTTTGGGCTTGGGCTGAAAAAGCCTGAAGTTAAGGGTCTTATGCTTAAGCTTTAAGGTTCAGGTTTAAGGTTTAGGGTTAAGGGCTTAGGGTTTGCAGGTGTAGGGTTGGGGGTACAGGGAAGGCTCCTTAATAAAAACTTGGTCACAAGTTGGGTTAGAGGGCTAACTATGTCTATAAGTTCCTGAAGCTTTAGATTCCAAGTGACCTTAAACCCAAAACCGCAAATATGATTAGATATCAATCTAGGGCGCGCCTCGGCCCTGAGACAGCTGCAAGGGGTTACCACGCTTAAGGTTCAGGGTTTAGGGTTTGGGGCGCCCCTTGATGGAACATGGAAGGGGTCTCCGGTGTTTCGTTGACCTAGAACTCCCTGAGCCCGCGACACCGAATCTCTGTACCTAGAACTCCGGTTATGTCCCAAGCGCCATTGAAAGTTCGGACTCCCTGCAAGATCCCTCGTAGAGGTTGTTGCGATGGACACTGATTTAGAGCATTCATTCAAAGACTTACCTGTGACCTTAATATACCTGCAGCTTGATAGCAATTACCCCCTGATTCATGTATACGGTATACCGCTATACCCCTGAAAATGTAGGCAACTCTAGTTATAGGTAAGGTCCAAAAGGCTTAAGGCTGACCCTAATCTATGACAGAGGCGCCTGGGAACCACGGACAGCGTCATCGTCATGTCTCCTCAGTTGTAAAAGCCGTTCGTCCATCCAAGTCTTCAACTGTCCCAGAGAAAAGGGCTCTCATGAGATGCCAAGAGAGAACCCCAAGAATATAGTAGGAGCAAAATAGAAATCGAGGGTCCCTGGTAAGTATATTCCGATTACTATTCTGTTCCTACTACATTCTTGACATTTCCTGTTTGGAATCCCCATTAGAGCACACATAGAAAGCAAACACTAACCTCAAGCAGGTCTTTCAGGGAAGATGACTTGTGGCATTGTACTCGTTAGTAAATACAGGGATTCATTCCCTACTAACAAGAAGCCCAAACCCCACACCTTACTTGCTGGTGGTTACTCGGGAACAAGAGAATATATCCACGTCTTAATCTCGATATAATAGATTCCCGCATTCCCTACTAACTCCAAACCTTAGGACACAAGACGCAAAACGACCCTTACCTGGACCCCAAAGGTAGGTAGAATAATGGTCCAAATCCCCTAAACATGGTCCAAAAGGCCATTGTTTTGCATACTTGGGGGTTTTAGGTCTTAGAGTCCTGAAGCAGAAACCAAGAATCCATGGCGATCCAGCTAAGGGGATCCCGTGGGTTGCCAAGGACCACGTTTTCGAAGATAATTCACAAACGTGATTTCCAGAGAGCCAATACACCTTAACTAAGGAAGATACCCTACGTAAAGCATGTTCGGGGTCCTGGTAGAATTTAGAGTCTATCACGAGTTGAGGGGTATGGGCTCTGTGGATTCCCAAATCCAGAAACCCTACAGCAGCCCCAGAAGGCCAAGAAACGGCAAACCATCTGCAACAGATCCTGCCGGCTTTTCGCGGCCCAGAACTTCCCGAACCCGGGTTTAGGTTGTTGAGGTTTAGGATTGAGTAGGGTTTTTGGCGAAGTTCATAAGATTTGGGATTTAGAAGGGTCTGCGCAAAATTCATAAGATTTAGGATCTAGAGGGGTTTTAGCAAAAATCTGGCCCTGGAGCTATCTATCACACGACGCTTCATCAAATTCTGCTTTTGGGGCTGGGGGAACCACGCTTGTTGCCACTGATGAAAGAAGACAACGTAGAGGATGCACAAGTTCCAACCCCAATTTACAAAAAAAATGCTCACTGCGGGGTTGTGACGGCTCAAGGATACCAGTTTAAGGTGTAGAGTAACCCAATTAAAGGGTGCATGTAGGCATATGGCATATACTCAAAGTCCACCTACTTTAAAGCCCAAGTATATACTTGGAGGCCCATGGGACTTAGTAACTACTTGCAACTGGGCGTATAACCTTACCTATAATCCCCCTAAATGGGCTTATAGGGTTTACCCCAATAATCCCAGTTATACTTATAGGGGTTACCCCAATAATCCCAGTTATAAGTAGTTACTAAGTCCCGTGGGCCTCCAAGTACCACATAGCTGCAGGGTCCCTTTGGGTAACATGATCCGGCATTTCACCTGGTGCAACGTCTAAAACTTGCATTGTTTCACGCGGCTCTACAATCTGCAGTCTCGGACGCTCAAAGAAACGGCATTTTCGGCTATAACATGCAACAGCCCAGAGGAGGACGGAATCCTACTCTATGTTATGGGGGCTAAAGTACCCCCCGCCCCCCAACCCTAAACCCTAAACCCTAAACCCTAGCCCCTAGGCCCTAAACCGCACGAATAGAGATTGACCGGCAAGCGTTTAGTGGCCTCGGACGGGTGAGCTGCTTGTATTCTGCATGACAGCCTTCCCCGCCATACCCCTACACCCTGAACCCTTGTACTACGCAACCCCACGATTCCGCCTCAAGGAACCCTAATTTGCCCCAAGTGTCCTTACATAACCTTAAGTAAGCCTTAAGGAAAGGGAACCTCTGGAAGTATAGGGCGGGAGTAGCAGGAGAACCCATAATGCATTCTTAGCCTAAACCATCCTAAAACTACTGAGGGAGATTTCTCTAAACCCTTCCCTAAGGCTGCAAGTACCGAAAAATTGGCGTCTGGGTATTTTTCTACCCGACAGTTAAATGGCTCAAGAGGCTACTATTCATGTGATTTGCAACCTGAGCCTAACTTGCCCCAAGGGTCCAAGGACTCAAGAAAGAGTGGTATTCGGACCCAATTACTATTAATTACATGGAATTTGGGACCTAAAGCCCAAATATTTGGGTCCTTGGACCCCTAAGCCGAAACCTTAAATCCTAAACCCTGAGCCCTAAGCCCATGCCCGAAGCCGCACCGTTGCATTCCAAGGGATAACTTCACCGCATGACCAGGTACTTTGTCAGATTCTCCCCTATAGTAGGTCCAAGTACCCAATCACTAGGTTCCCTTTAAAGGGGATATATAAGGGTAAATAGGGGTATATAAAGGGATATATTAGGATATTTAAAGTCTAGGGTCCAAGCACCACTTGGGTGTAGGGCAATAGTAATTCCAGTAAGGGATTTTTGGGCACGTATACGATTATGAGGTGCTTGAACCCTTCAACCCTAGACCTAAACCCTGATCTCCCCCCTTCCCCTGTAGCCCGGTGCCTTCAGCTGAGCCATGGGGGGCTTGAAGTCCATCTTCACTTCCTAAAACAAGCAGGCTTTTGGATTATGGCGTAAAGGTTTAGGGGTTGGGGTTTGGGGATTTGGATTAAGGCTTAAGGGGCGCGTTGAGGTTGCAATGTTTACGGTCAAGGGTTAAAGGTGAAAGGCATAAGCTTAGTGTCTCAGCGGTCCAGGATTTAGGGCTTAGCGTCTAGGGTCTAGGGCTTAGGGTCTAGGGTCTAGGGTTTTCGGTTTAGGTGTCAATGTTAACAGTCCAATGTTTCTAGCGCTGCAGGTCTCCATTCCCAAGTAACCAAGTCTTCGGCAATGCTGTAACGAATTAGTGTATGAGACTTTCACCGTCCCGCCCTTACTCGAATGTGGCCAAGGGGTTGGCCATGGCTTCGAAAGTGTGCCATTGTTTGATTCTTATTTGAGCCATAATCTAAACTCCAAGAATTAAACGCCCCCTAGTAGTCCCCTATATATTCCCTATATAACCCTAAACCCTAAACCCTAAGGAGTGTAGACCATAGCTCATTTGGGACCTACGCACTGCCTTTCAAAACCTAACATTGAGGCATGAGGACGACAGTCCCCTTTAAAAAAAAGCGACACGCTACACTGAGCCTTTATGCCTTGGGTCTATGGCTTGCTATGGCTTGCGGTAAACGCGGTTTAGGGTTTAGGGTTATATGGGTTAGGGTTTAGGGTTGCAGTTTAGGATTTGGGGCTTCGACCTCTGCAAAACTGCTGGAAATTTCTGATTATCATGATTCCTGTTTCCCAAATGGCCATTCTTGAAATGATCTTTCCCATATTTTCCCCTGAAGGCCTACTCGGACCCTGCGCAATCTCACAGAGGACCTTTAGATCCCCCCCAAAAAAACCCGAGCACCATAAATCCTGCAAAGCACCTGGACGCAAAACCACGACGACCCCTTAAGTGCAAAAATCCTAAGGCCCGACATCCTCTACCCTAAAACCCTCAAAGCTATGAAGCACTAAGCCCCAACACACAAATCCTAAACTCTAAATATTCACAAAAACCCTTTATGCTCCGAACCCTGAA